CATTCCGAGAAAACTGCTCCTGAAATTCCCAGGAGCACCTCCTTAGATCTGTTCTAAGCTCTCTCTTCTCCCTTTGTAGTTATCTGTAACTACAGGGAATCCAATGCTAACAGCAAGCACGAATGCTCTCCATTACTGTAATTGGTTTTGCATTTGGACAGATGTTGAATTTCATATCAAAGGTTTGCATATAGACACATAGACAGAACCACGCAAGTAGTAAACTTCAAAGCAAGAAAATCTAAGCTATCATTACAACGCTAGGAAAAATATATATCCTCAAAGCTTGCTTATTTGTAGAATGTTAATAATTATTAAGCACTGATTCCGTTATGGGCTTAATAATGCTAAAAAGTATTTACCATGCATTCATCCGTAAGCACCTTTGGTTCAAGTAGCGTATTTGCTTTAAACATTTGACCATTCCATCCCTTGAAGCTAATGGACGTTTTCTGGCCACCTGCCTCATTCAGTCCCCACACCGGTGTGTTCAGACAGTGGACTGTGATGCTGTGGGTTGCTTCGGAGCTCAGTAAATGAAGAAAGTTCATCTGCACCTTTCCAACGCCAAACTCCAGCTAAGTTCCACAAGAAAAGCATCATTAGACTTGCAGCTGGACTATGCTGGCTGGCCACAGCAACATGAAGTGACACACAGTTACATGAGCAGTGTCCAGGCATGGGAGCATGGATACATGTTTATATACTATGATCAATGCCAAAGAGCATGATTTATTCCTTTGAGGAGGTTCTATAGTACTGAATACTACAAACACAGAAACTTTGATAGAACATTTTCAAAGTCTAAATATAAACATTTGCTAATGCTCACAAACTTGCTGGGACACAGCTGGGCAGATACCATTACTCTGTAAATACAGAAACTGAAACAAATCATTGTGTTTTTCAAACAAAGGTGGTTTCAGCAACAGCCTTCTATCTGTACTCACAACATTTGCTGTCCTTAAACAATACCTTGATCCCATTAATAACCTGAAGTTTATAAGCATATTTTAAACAGCAAGTCTAAAGTTCTTCTAGTTACTCCAAAGAAGAATTCCTGCAAGATCAGATCCTACTCACATAACCCATATCCCTATGGATTAGGACCACTAGGAATAGAGACTTTATTTTTTGTGGAGTTTTACATATCTGCTTATCCTGAGGAGCAACAGTGATAACGTAAAGCACTCTCACATTCTTAAATTTGAAAGATCCCTATGTGACATAAAATAAAACCTTTTCCACCTGACAAGGCATTTATCAGTATCTAAAAGTGTTGAAAATTATTTTGCTAGTTAGTTTAGCAATCTCAGCATCTCTATACTCAATCACTAATGTAGCTTAGGAGAATTTCTGGCTTGTTTTATATCTTATACAGAAAATTATAAAGCAAAGGAAAAAGAAGAGCTCTAACAGCATGGAAGGTAAGTAAACAAACATCTAATGCTCAAATTAGTCAAAACTAATATACGTTGCCTCCACTATTCTGTAATTTCCATAGTGGAATATATACTGACATGCTATCCCACAGAGATAAACATAAAAGAAACCAACTGAAACCTAACATCTTATATTGTAAGTTAAATAAACAAGCATTCATTTGTTCAAAGTTGTGGCATGGCAAGCAGCAATTTATACCTTTGTCACAGACATTGGTGATAAACACGTCTGACCACCTGCAGTGAAGTTGCAGAAGACTTCAATGGCATCAGAAGGACATCCAATATTTGGGTCAATCCAGTATTTTCCTATTAGTATATAACCCCAGATAAAAATATATATATATACAGTTGTTACTAAGCTATTTATTTATTTACTTTCTGGCAAGTATCAGATATATTGTTACTACAGCTTCACTGGGAATGGAAGAAACAAGAAAATGTTTCCACCACTGCAATGTAGACAATGAGCAAAATCGTCACAGCCATCCAGTACTGGCTACGTATGCAAAGACTTTGATGCAAAATCTGTTGTTCTCACAGTTATCTTGAAAATCCTTTCTTACTCTTCTTTCTACAAGACACTTCTATTCCACAAATTCTTGTGATGTTAATAAGGAATATTCCCCACTGTGAAACAGCTAATTTGGTCCACAAGGAAAACAGGACAAATAAGGTATATCTAAATTATAGCAAAATGTAGCTCCCTTTAATTTAGGGTTAAAGGTAGGTGAGCCTCTGCTCTACAGTCTGCATGAGCATGTGCAATCCTCTGTAAAGTGGAGACGGGGTCAGTGACCTTGGAGGCCCTGAAGGACTGAGATGCATTAAGCAGTGAAGTCTTAATGAGGGCTTGGCTCATCTTTACTATAGTCTTCATTGATTAGTCATGACATATGCCAAGGAACAGCCATTTATTTCCTTGTAATGTCTAAAGTCATTTCCTATTTTCTCATTAGCTTGTTTAATGTTAACACTTGATAATAGGGATAACTTACATATATTTATTACATTCTTAAACATTCAGAATATAATTTATATCTGAGCAAAATTGCTAAACATTTTAACAATAATTTGAAACATTCATTCAGAGTCTCCTTGGAGACCAACCAACAGTTGTCAATGTAACTGACAATGGCAGGCATTTTTCTAATTAGAAATCGAGAATCTGATCCACACAAAATCATGGCAGATGATGGGATTAAATCAAATTCAAACAAGGGTATGAATATTAGTTGGTAACATCATTTCCTCTCTAAAAACCAGAGTTTGCATCTTAAAGATAAAGATGGCTGTACTTGCTTCAACACAATATAATAAAAAACCCATACCCATTACAATTGAAGTGGAAAGTAACATTCTGAAACAAGACATTTCAAAACCTAGCTATGTTTCAGCTTTTACGAAAGCAGACACTTACCATCCGACACTTTCCTTTCACAGTTAAGCAAATCCCTGCAGATGCGGGCTGGATTATCCCGAGTGCCAAGAGGGTTCTTGATGCTGTGCAGCAAATTGCTAAGGTAGTGCAGTGTTCTGAATATCTCTGTACTGTGATCTAGTAAAGTTACTTCAGTATTCTGGTATCTCTGCCAGGGGCCATTAGTAATTGTGTTATCACAAAAAATATCACAACAGCAGCGCATGCAGTAAAAATCAAATGGCCATTGAAGATCCAGATAGAAGCAAAGTGTTTATGATGCATGCAATCAGCCATATAAAATAAGGTAAGAATAAGATATATTCCAATAAACAAATTAGTATATTTTATTAAAATATCAGTATAATGAAGTTACAGATGGGTTAAGATCATACAATTGCATCATTATGATATGTTGATGTAGAAATATGGATACAGGAAAAAAAAAGAAAAAAGGAAAAAATTAGTGCATTTTTCAAGTATACTCAGCAGTCTCAGATTCTGAACAATGAAATCTGGTCTTAGACTATCTCTTTGTTTAGATTGCATCCTATATATCTTGCTATATTTAATTATATTCTATAGTGATTGCCTGCAATCCATGACTAATCCTAAATAAAGTCTTCGTAAAGAGGCCTCATTCTGGTCTTTAAAAAACATTTTATAACTATATACCCTCTGTGCCAATATAAATATAGTGAAATACATTACCTCCATCTGCAGTGCAGCATTTGACTGGATCAAGGCTTGAACAGCAGCATTGATGTCCACTTGTTTCTGGAAAAAATGAAAACCAGAACATAAGATCAACAGAAATAACCTAAGATACAGGTAGCAAACTGTTTGTGCACTGCTGTAGACACATATAGATGATATGCTTGTTATTTTGGGGTGGGGGAGGGATATCTATGTAAACACATACCTTTGAAACGGGATCCTCTCTTCCATTTCCAAAGAAAGCAAGCACACACACAGAAATAGCATATTACCTTTCTATTAACACTTCCCCCTCCACACACAAAATTTAACGATCATACTCCTAGAAGCAAAAAATACGATGCTAGAATAGTAACAGACTAGTGCACCAGCTATTCCCTCCACCTGTTTAATCTGTATAGTTAAGAAAAATGATTGAAATCAGTGTTTTATTCCTTTCCAGAAAAGGCACAACAAAGAACATGGTACCTGTACAAAAACAACTTGGACCACATGTGCTCGTCTCACTTGTGGTCTCAGGTCTCTCGCCAGCTGAAAGCTCCTTTCCTGAAGAAAAGGCCATGGCTCACTTGCCCAGCAGAGAAAGAAATGTGTGGTGGGTGTTTGAGTGGAGGGTGAGTGAGCGCCAGCCCCCCTGGTCTGTGTGAGCCAGCCTCAGGAGGAAACCAGTTCCCTTGTTATCTCCATTCCCTGCACTGTTTGAGAGGTGTATACACTACATCTCTCTCTACAGTTCCTCTACAAGGAACTCCAAGTTCCTTTTTTTAAAGGATAATCCACTCATATGAAGCAGGTCTTAGGATTGTTCTCTGTTGGAGCCTGTTCTTAGGATACCACCACAGCTTTTTGGATCCTTCAGATATTGACCCTGTCCTAGTAACTGGCACAATCCCTTAGAAGAGAACAATCCAGTTGGATATGTATAGGGAGATCATCTGGGCCAGAGATACTACAGGATTTTCCTGGTGCTTTCTTTCAGATTGTTCAAATGCAGAATCGTTCCAACAGAAAACAAACCATTTTTTTACAGTGAGACAGCTCTAAGCCATGTCAAAGGTGAGCTTTGCCTACTAAAGTTTCAACAGCATTGTAGAACGGAAGTGCTGGTGTAAGACGAAACATTCAAAAGCTGTTAGTGCAGTGATGGAGGCCATAGGGAAACGTATCTGCTTTTCCCATATGGTGACTAAACAGGCAACTCATCTGGAGAAGATCACTCCCAGCAAAAAGGGCCATACTGCAGTCAGTGTTCTTAGGGAACTTACTCTTGGTCCTGGTGGTCCTGGCGGTCCCTAGAAAATTGGAGAAAGCAGGTTTTAGGTGCATCGCATTTGCACATGATACTCTCACAGCGGAAAACTACGCACGTTTTTTATGCACTTACAGGTGGCCCTGGCTGGCCCTGAGGTCCCTGAGGGCCCTGAAAGAAACAGAAATAAAATGCAACAATTAAAGGTGAATGTCTCTGCTTCTCCATTTCTAAAAAATCAACAAACGCTCATGTGTACAATGGAGCAAAAAAGTGTGTGACACAGGTCTTAGTAAAACTGTTGATTATTAGTTGCTGTTCTTAAAAGTACCATGTTCGGTTAACGTGAAAACATTGCTGCGAGAAGTGTTGGTTGGGTTGAACATCAAAAGTTGTTTATCCAATTATTTTTGATGTTAAGGCACATCAGAAGCCATATACAGAGTATTAATTCATAGTGTGCCAATATTATGTGTTATAAATATGAATAACTATGTTGTATGAAAGGTCATAGAGGCATCAGAAAAACATTTACAGCTAGTAATAAAAAACTGCCTGCATGAATATCTGCTAAGCATTTATTACCTCTTAATGCAGGGTCACCCTTCAGCCCAAATACATGATGTTCATTGTTTAGCAGTGATACCGCACATTTCTTTTACATTATTTAAATTATGCCCTTATTCCTAGCCTTAAGGAACATAATTTTACACTGTAGGATGATGCAGTAGGAAGAGAAGGAAGAGGAGGAGAAGCTTTCCTCCAGCTCATAATGCCTAAAACACACAGTCTCAAATCTAAAGCATGAAAGGAAACAGAGAGCTGTCTAGGGGTCAGGTACAGACCCTCACAAAGACCATCTCCTCCTCTGAATTATCCACGACCAACGATTCAAATTAAGAATACATTTACGCATATATGCGGTGATACTTGTGCTTTTTTTCTACATTATGTTCCTGAGTCACTATATATTCAAAGCCTCTAGGAGCTGCTGTAACATAAACAATAGCAAGGACATTGCAAAAAAGGAGAAATGGTATCAGCAGCTTAATACCAGTGAAAGAGGAGGAAGAGGATACATAATGCAGGCAACACCTGCATTATGTATTAGTAAAATGTTTTAGCATAACTGAGTTTAAGCCAAATTTTTTTAGCAGTATTGCTATTGCTTATACCAATTTTCAAGTACAATAAACTCTTCCAGCAAAAGTGCTCTTGCCTCTAAGCCTAGACCAGTAGAGAAACAACAGGCATGCTAACAAATGTTCTAAATTGATCTATTCAGAAGAAATATCAAGATGTAAATCACTTAATGTAGTATTCTTTATAGGAGATTTCACAATGAGATGCGTGTATTTCTACATGCAACAAGTGCTGATCTCAAGGCTGTGCTTCAAGCTGCCACCGTAACAAGAACACATAAATCACATATATTTAAATTAAAAAAAAGAAAAAAAAAAGTGGGGGCCATTATTTAAAACCTTTCACCAGATCTACAGCAGCAAGGCTGTGCTGAGGGACTGCAAATGAGCGCTGAGGCTGAGTGCCACGCTATACATGCTCTGCAATATGAATAGGTGACAGTCACAGCTGAAGCTATTTCCAGATTTTAAAAAATATGGTCCAATGATATTTAAATAAGATACTAATGGCATAAACTATAGGCATCACCTTTCAACTGATGAAGCTTTATTTGTGTTTCTTCCACGTACACAAGAAACTTTAAGCCGTCTTGTAAACAAACACTGATATTTTATAAAGATATTAACAATTAATGTTGGGAAATAAGAATTAAAGAATAATTCATTTCAGCATAGAGTAACACTGAAATGCTATGGATTTTGTGGCAAGTTACAAGCATCTCTTCACTCATTTGAGTGTGCCCACTGCCAAAATTGAAATTTCTTTTGAAATCCTATTGCTATGAAATGGGCATTATTATTGTTCATCATTATAACAAAACCAAAGACAGATCAATTTGCAGAGATGACATCCATGTGACTGCTTTAGAAAGCAACCTCAGCTGATGCAGATCAACTGGGTTCCACAGGGCTCTACTATTGGATGACAGTTGAGAAAGTCAACATCCACATTTAGGTCATCGCATCAGGAGCTCAAATACCGTCAGGCTGCTGCAGAACTCTTCCAGCCCCCTGAGTATATACTACTAGACTCTGTGATCATGCTTAATGAAATATATTTGATATAAAAAGAAAAGGAATGTGAAACAAATGTGAGAAGTGAATTTGACAGTGTAAGATCAATTTTGTCATTTTTTTTTTTCCACCAAACTTGACTACACAATTACCAACTCAGGGCAACACAGAATATCTTCAACGGTTTGTCCCTGAGTAACCACCGCTCTCTGATGAATACGTGTCTTTGTTCTGGATGCCAAGATTTAGAAATTCCAATAGATTTTTCAGATGAGTGAATGCTTCACTTGATATTTCAATCATCTTGGCATATGTCACAATTAAAAAATTCCAGGATTCTTGGGAGTAGGACAGCTCAAGTTTGTAGTAGTTTCTGACATAGAATTGGTTCTTTATTTATTTATTTTTGGTAATATCACAAGTACACTGTTCCTATGTTTTTAAGATATTTTGCAATGGAGGAATTTGATTTGTCTTGATTCACTGTCTTCTTGCCAATAAAAGCCATGTGGAAAAAGGTAAATATTGAATACTATTTTTTAACTGCAGTAAAACTCTTTAGGGCATATTGCATTTCTTAAATGCATTAAAACTTCAAAGACCTATATCAATTACCTTTACAAACCTTTCAAAAATAACAAAACTACACAGAGTATGTCAAAAAATCCTGCATAGACATTATAAATATTCTTTCTTTTTTTTGTTGCAGAACATCAGAATAATATTAAATTACAAATTTCATGCATTAAGTTAATTTCAGAATGTTCCAATGGAATGTACAGGATTTTTTTTTTTTTTTTTTTTAACAAATCTACTTAATTTATCCTTTGATCATATTAGAATTTAAGTGAGAAAAGTGCAATTCCAGTTCATAATAACAAAAGCAAAGAATAAAGTAATTAGTTTTAGCATGGTCTTTTAATTTCTTAATCACTTAATTTGATTGGTAGTACAGAAGTTCAAAGGCCAAAACTCTAATCTTTTCTGATGCTGTACAGCCTTGATCTTGCATGCAATGATACACATTCTTAACTTGAAATACCTGAGCAATCTCAAAGACAGCACAGCACCACTCGTTTTTAAAGCTAAAACATGTGCATACTAATTTTCAAGATTAAGATTTTGTAGTGTATTGATTGGATTTCATAATTCAAATTAGAGCGTTGTGAGATCTCAGGTGGTATAAAAACATAGGGCACGTTTTACATTATTTTCTGATTTCCATCATCTTTCTATTAATGTAATCACTGATTTCAGCAGAATTATTCTTGACAAACTGCTAAGGACAAAGGAATGGATTTCTAAACTATTCTTGTTTAACATTATATTTCACATTTTACTGAAGCTACAAACAGGACATTTTATTAATCTGCTTAAGATAATTGCACAGAAACCCATTTGATATAAAAATATTTAGGTACTGAGAAAATGAATGCTGTGAAAATTTTAAAGGCGGGATGAATCCCATGACAAAAACAATCAGATTGTCACAACTGCCCTAGCATCTCTACACCTTCCCACTGTTGCCCGAGGACTATCACATGCCTGACAGTTTGCCTGGGTGCTGTTATCCTACCTGAATCATAATGGTTGGAAAAGAGTTTCAAGATCATCGAATCCAACTGTAAACCCGTCACCGCCCAGCCTG